ACATGTTTGAGATAACTATACCAAAGAGTTGAAAAACGAAAAACAATTTATTTATAATTGTGTATTAGTTTTTCATATCTAACCTTTTTTTTCGTAGGGAGAAAACAATAATCAATTCTTAAATTGTCTAGTTTTATTTTTCATACTAATTTTTATGTAATATGAGCAAATTTCTCGACGTCATAAGCCGCTTTTTTAAGCTAAGACGTATGTCATCAGGTAGAAGCCACTAAGAGAAAAAAGCTTAGATTGATTCGAGCCCATCCTACATTGTTCTTGAGCTATTTCATTGAATTGTCGGTCAGTAGTAAAGATTCTCGACAAATATCAAATGTGGAGATTTCAATCTAAAAATAGCTCTTATGTTACTCTTTATGTATCAGCTCTTCTAAGCCAAACTGATTACTCCTTTCTTAGACATAAAACTTTTAATATGGATATTTTATAGGACGTTTCAAAAGGTATAAATTGCAGAAGAAATTAATATCATGGAAAGAAACCGTTTATTTTGCTTGAAAATTTTCATGCATTGCAATCAACATCACATCAATTTAAGAGTAAATTTTCAAATCCAAATTCTGACATTTGTTGGTTCGGTTACTTCTTTCTTAATAGTTTTAGTTATAGCCGCGGTAAATCTGGTCTGGATTTGGTCCCCGTCAATTTAGTTTTTCAGTTGTCGGCTCTAATTTTGAGTCCCAACCCATACAAAACAAACCTGTTTGAAAATCTGTTCGTATAAAATCTTGAAAATTGTCAAATATTCGTTGTTTGAGCTATCCACTCAGCGAATGTCACTTTTTTTGGTCCGCTCTCCCGATTTTTGTTTTGATCGGTATGATTTATATTATAATTCTCTCAAAACCACAGATCAACTAACTATAATCTATAGTTTTGGTTCGAACAACTCTTTTTCTTCGTTGTCTCGGTCCTGATCCAGTCCCACATATCTTGAGTCATAAATCAGCAATAAAGTATTATGAATACGAATCAGTTTAGATTTTTCCTTGTCTCAATAGATCCTATTTGATAAGACAACTCATCTTAGAAGTGATTTATCATCTCGGAAGATTTTTTTTGTTATAATAATAAAATTAATTTTATATTTGTAGCACAAATTAAGTCTTTCTAAACATGTCTGGTTATCCGATTATGATGATAGATTACAACATATTCTTAAACACAAACATTTATTATGAAGATGATCAAATCTAGAAATGTTGACTCTTCATAGAGATTGAATTTAACATATTAAGATAAGTATCGATTATAGAATATACATAAGCGACGAATTATAAGTTCTAAAAAGATTTTTTTTCTTCTTAAGCGAAGCTCTCAGACTACCACCATTTGCCTTCTACATGAATAGATTCTTTACATATTCGTTCCTAAGTGATTCTAATAAGTGTTAAGGGTTTCATTGATTTCTTCTCAGACATCCACTTGATATGGACAGTGGAAGAGATGAATGTGATATTTTCTCTTTGGAGGCTAAAATTCTAACTAGATGAATTCGAAACCGACATTTTTACGCTGAGTTTTTCTGCGGATGGATTCATGCGGAATATAAATGATGTTAATCAAGGATGAATCTCCTTTTATTTTTCAAAGAATCTATCAAATAAACGATTGATTACCTATATCAGAAGCCATTGATGAATGTGTATTTTCATAAAAAGCTCGTCTGAACACTTGGTGATGAAATGTTAATGTATATTCATCTAATTGATGTTCAATAAGATAACATAAATTTTGAACTACTGATTCAATTGATATAAATCGAGTAAGAATAAGTGATTTAAGATTAGGTAAACCAAGTTTTTTTTTATCATTAAACAACAATTCATAACTAAGACCACAAGCAATTGAATATGTTCCATCAAAATGACTACGTTGAATAGAAGAAGAAAGAGATGATGAATTTAAAATCAATGGAAATAATATTGAAGAAAATTTATTATAAGATAAAATTTATTTAATAAGAAGACCAGTATTTAATCAATTGTCCTTATTGAAAGAGCTGAACACACAAGAGAATTGAACCGAATATTTAATGATCAAAAAGATGTTAACATATCGAACCATGTTAGATAAGAAAAGATATGAAGAAGAATTTTATTCGGTAGTGGTTCCATTCTATATCTAATAAGAAAGATAGATTATGCATTTTATTTTTTTCGGATTCCATCATTGTTGAACATCAATAGATGATGTAAGCAAAGAAATGAAAACCCAAAAGATTATATTCATTTCTCAACATTTCATGAACATTATTAATTAGTGTAGCAACAGCTTTTAGTTAAATTAGAAAATCATTTCTTTAAAATAAAAACCCATCAAGGTCTTTAGATTTCAGCGAAGCATTTGGTCAATGAGCATATCATTTATTAAATTTATGTCAACGTTATACAAATATATGAGATCCAGTGTCGATTTTATAACTCTATTGTTTCAGTTTTTGATCTAGTTATTGTACCAAAAAAAAAAAGAAAATTTTCGTTTTACAAATATTTGGAAGAGCAAATGTCCCTATCACCGCTTCGCCCAGCCTTGAGTAAAATTTTTTTTCTAGCTAAAACTCGTTCTGATTCAATGCTTCGTTTTCAGCCTTTAGTGTTGATAGATGTGTCAAGAAAACAAATGATTGGGCATACTCTCCTTAAACACCCACACCCACACCCTTTATTAGTTTTGATTTTTTTAAGATTATTTAGTCGCAATTACAAAACTTGTTTTTTTCATCTGTATGTAAAACAGCGCCACGAAGTATTGGTGAAGATACGATTCTTATTTGTCCAAAGTATGCTGATTCATAGTGAATATAATTTAAAAGAATG